TCAGATAAGAGAACAGCTCATCAGAAGCTCTGCACTTCACACAACATGATTTCACCACTGATATGACCTGCTTTGCCCCTCTCCAAAACAGGCTGGCTCAGACAGAATCGAGCCTCCATCCCATATTAACACTTTTTTTTCCAGATATACCTTTAGCAATAAGACCCAAATTATCTGAACACACACACACAGACAAAAATATTATAATATTTTAAATTATAGTATTTAAAATTATATCTTGTTTCTCTATTTTTATTTTAAAAATAAAGAGGTAGAGCACAAATCTAAAGTTGCAGGAGCCAAATTATGGGCTATGTCATTATTTCTATGAAAAATACAATTTTCCCAGTGGAAGGTGGGATTTGGGACTTTATATTGAATGAAACAAGCATTGAGTAAGAGTCTTAAATAATGACACAATGCACTTAGCAGCCCACAGTGTTAATAAGGCACAGTTTTAATTAGGGTTATAGAATATCCAGTACTTCCTAGGATAAAGCAGCTCACATCTATGTGGAGAACAGGTTTATAAAATTACAGACAGCAAAAAGCACTTCAAGAATCTTTTTTTGCCCCCACAGCATGCCTGGGTAGAAGTTCTTGACATAAAAATTGTGTTTCCCAGTATTAACTGATTTAAAAGATGGTTTCAATTTGGTGTTTTAAATGACTTGATGTCTTAAAACAGTTGTTTAAGTTTTAGCAAGGAGGAAGGAAAATCTTTGCTGTGCTGATTCTTCTCCTGGCAGAACTTTGAGCCAGTGAAGGGTATTTAGCACACAGCACTATCAGGCTGCCCATAGTAATGATAAATGTGTTCAATATTATTGTTTAATTTAAGAAAAAATCATGAATTTACACACGTGTTTCTGAGAGCTTTAAGAGCAGTATTTGACATGTTTCAAATTGACTATCCACAGTTTTACAGGTTCACTGAGAGCAGGACTTGGAAGAGCCATTACACATTTCACACACAGCTCAAGAGATCACTGCTTACTCCACCCATCATTTTTATGCTGGAGATAAGAAGAAAAAAAACATTCCCTTTTGCAACCCTCTGCCAAAAATCCCATTTTGACTTTCCAGAGAGCTGCCCCATAAATCCCAGAATCATTTAAATCATTTCCACTGTTCCTTCCCTCTGCACCAACCTCCATCTCCAGACTTACCTGCCCTTTACATTCTCTTGACTAAATACCTACGGGCATTTATTACATGATTGAAACACATATGTTATATACATATATATAAAATTAAAAACACTGAAATCACATGCTTTGGGTGCAGTTTTAGTCACATTCCTGTGCACTTCTGGAATACTTGGATGGTATCCAGAGGAAGCCCCAAGACACTGTGGGTGAGCGAATTAAGAAGCAGCTCTGGTGACTCCTTGGAGCAAACACTGCCTACAAATAAATTATCAAATCATCTCATGCAGGCTGTAGAAAAATCATGAGTAATCTGTTTCTTTTAAATAAACAGCAGTGGCTGTAAAGATCCAATTTCAAGAACTGTGCCACCACTCTGCTGAGCTAAGAAAGCAATTTAAGAATAGTAACCGTGGGAATCTGCACTGAAATCAATTGATTCTTTCACAAGGTATGAACTGTAAAGCTACAAAACCCAGCAGGAAGCCTAATTAAAGACAACAGATGAAAATAGCAATCCAGATCAAATGCCAGATTAAAAAAAAATAATTAAGATCTTACATACTTTTTGAGCAAATATAATAAATTGAAATCCAAAATCAAAGGCAATATAAGTGAAGAGTATATTTAAATTCACATTTAATGTAATTATAACTGAAAAAACGTACCCATTTTTCTAACAACCACCCAGCAAGCTGGTACAGATTCACTGATCCTTAAAAACAAGAACTTAATAGCACAGCAATGCTGAAGAAATGCAGACCACAGTGTGCAGTGCCAACACAAAAATTCTTTTTACGTACAAATTGTACACCAAAGGTTGGCTTTACTTAAAGAATTCCTTTCAGAAAACTGCAGCAGAACCTCTCTTGGGTTCCATAAACATTGAGGGAAAGGTTGGAGTGTCTCAATAGCTGAATGCACTCCCCACTTGCAGCATGACTTCCAACTACCCCTGTCCCTGAGTATCTTGTCCTATCAAAACATTCATTTTTTCATTGACCTTCCAATGTTTTATTAAATCTCTGGGATAATGACATCTATTCTCTAACAAGCAATGGAATATGTAGAAAATATTTCACACCTAAAAGGTGTTTTATTCAGCTACATTAACCCATCCTGCTCTCTCAACCTCTACTATTATTATTAATACAGCTATTACATGTAATAGGCAATTCAGAGCAGCTTTTATCACAGTATCTCATTTTGACCTTTTTGTTTCTGTACCTGGCAACCGATGTAAAATTATTTCCACTCAGAAGATTTGCCCTCTGACTGTTAAGTCAGGTCAGGCAGTGCGGATAACAGGATTTTAAATGATGGCACAGAAGCCATAAACCAAAATTTGTGGTTGATTATAAACTACATTTTAGACTTCATACAGTATCATTCCAAATTTACAATTCCCCAGACGAAATAGAAACTCGAGTTTGAGGTCTTTTGGTATTGGATTTTGTTGCTGAGCCTCTGTAGGAGTAGCAAATAATCCCTTAAATCTCACATCTGCTTTGCCTAATGAAGCAGCAGGAACAAAAGGCCCCAAGAGCTGCGAGGGTTTCCCTGCATCCATCAAGGCTCAGGGCTCTCACCCCCTTCCCTGATGTCTCTGCAGACAGAGCTGGAGCTACAAATCCCATATGGGCTCTAAAAATGGGCTCTTCCTTTAATCTTCCCTCCCTAATGCTTCCCAGGTTTGTTTTTTCCCCTACATTATGTACACAGACTTTCACTACAAGCATCATCATTTTTTACACCTAAAAAAAAAAAAAAAAAAAAAAAATCAAAATAACACAAGATTATTACCTCAGAGATTCTGAGTACCTGCTGTGACCACAATATCTCCAAATCTCTTAAAATAAAAAAAAAAAAAAGGTTCCATTTTAGCACTTACTCACAAACAGTCCTAATTCATTTTTACAACAGCCATTACCCTCCCATTCCACACGCTCCACACAGTGCCTACTACAACACACGGGAACATTTTCCATCATTTTCAAAACCCTGCAGCTACTGGGATACAACTCACTCCACCCTCCACCCAGATCCTGGAGACAAGAGTGAACACCTGCTTCAGAATAACCAAACACTTTTGCACACTTAATATTTTCTCCAAAAGAGCACAAAGAAATTATAGTTTAGATTTTTAAACAGGATTACCTAATCAGGTTAAATTTTCCCCATACCAGCTCTTTTCCAAAGTCATCCTTTTGTCCCCACATTGGTTTAAGTGCATCACATTTGGCTAAAACATGTCAATCTGCTTCATGCTAATTTGATTTCATCAATGAAGTGTAAAATACACTAAATTAAAAACAAACCAGATTTCTTCAAAGAAATCAGTTTTCAGACAGCAGCATGTGGAAATTCCTAGGCAGTTGCTGGAGTTCAGAATCAAATTGGTGAGGCACTTTGTGCCAGGTTTCTCGGGCAGTTGTGGTGAGTAACTTGTGCAACAGCTCATTTCAGCTGCCAGTTTTCATTTGCTGCTATACCAGGCAGAGTCTTTCCATTCCCTCCTTCAAATCAGTTTTGCTACTCCCGTTTGAATCCTCTCCAGCATTTCAGAATCCTTCTGAACACTTGACAGCAGATCTGTACTGGATAAGGCAGCCTCGTCAACACAGACTGTTCAATTCCACAACTCCCTGCTCATCCCAGTCCAGAAATCCAATTTTGCAGAATTACATTTTTACCAATTGGAGACAACTCTTGTTCCCAAGGCAAGTCTCTGTTGCAATACCTATATGCCCTACTGAAATCCTCCAAGTATTTCACTTTGCTAGTATTTTGGTTATAGTTAATTACAACTAATGTGTTTTTTTTTAAAAAAAGACCATTTTTAAATGGGCAAGCAACTCCATGCAGCTTAATTTTACTTACTCTTCTTACACATGAACTGCTACCAGTCTTATCAAATTAAATTTATGGGGTTGGTTATTTGGTTTTTCAAAGGTTCTTCATGTGATACATTTCAGGCTGGAAAATTGCTTACTACTACAAAATCCCATTAATAACCAGCTCAGGAATTTCAATTTCACAAATAATTTACCAGGACTTAAATTAATTAATAGCCAGCTGATAACAGTGAAGATCATATCACCTGAAGCTCCTTTTCAATTTCTCATTTTTACTTTTTATACCAGTGTGCAGTGGTGCCACGTTCCCATCCTGCACAGGGATCTGGGCCCTCGTTATCCCTTTCCAGCTCTTAGAGGACCATTAAAACTCTTCAGGAATTCCCCACTGCTCTCACCCCAGCAATCAATTACCAAGCCAGCAGGTGCTCTTTCCCTCTCTCTTTAGCCACTTAGGATCCTTGGGAACACACTCATTTAGAAAATTGTATTTCTAGGATGTCCTCAATAAACCAGGACTCACCTTATAACCCTAGAGTGAACAGACACCTGCTGTTCTGCTGTTTTCCCCAAATGCAGGGAGAAAATGTGTGCAGAGGGATGAAAAGGCAGCAGGAGGTGCTGTGCAAGCTTTGGGAAAGGCACAGCCAGGCTCTCTCCTGTTCCCTCATTACAGAAAATAGATCCCCATCTAACCCAAATAGATGAGGAACTGATCCCTCCCTCGTGAACATGAGGATAAATAGTTTAGAATTCCTCTTTACTGTGTCCTCATACACTTTCTCCAAGTGTCTTTTATTATATCAATAATTATTAATAGATACCAACAGATATATAATAAATATATTTATTATATATCTCATTTACATTCAGCAAGGCACAGAAATGTCAGATTCCTCACATTATTACATAGGCAAGGAATTTTTGGGACTAGAGGCTGCTAAGTAAGTTTTTCCTATTTACTTCTTACCACAGACTGTTCACGTGGATACTCTACCTTGTCTTCAATCTCAGAGACAAATTCCCCACGCAGAAGGTTGGGGTCTTCACTCTTAAAATCCATCTTCCACTGAAATGCAACAAAATAATGCAAAACACCAGAGCATTTAATTCTCAATGGTTTTGGTACATTTTTCCCCCTCTCCTTGCTGAGAGAATCTGAGAAAGTCAGGATTTGCATCCTGCCAAATATTGACATACTCTCTTTTAAGTAAAATATTTTGAATAGACCTCTCCAGATTACCACAATTTCTAAAAATAAATATTGAACAATAGCTAAAGCTCACTTTCCAGGCAGAGAGCTCTGTGAATTGCAGGTAGTTACTTGAGTACATTCTTTTCAAAATATTATAGACATTCCCTTAACAAGGAGTTATAAATGCATGAATAAACTATTCAGTTCCCCTGACTTGCACTGAATACTTAAATGCTGGCAAAGATATCACTATAAAAAAAAGAACTATGTCCTACTAAAATATATAAGCAAAAAAAAAAAAAAGAGATTTATTAAAAAATTATTAAAAGGGTCTTGAAACAACAGGTGTGCAACAATTTTCTGCAGTGGAAAGTATAAATGTAAGGCAGTTTTTGTGTCTGTGACCAAATGTATCCTTATTACAGTTTCATGCTGCCACTCAAGCTTCAGCTTTGATAGCTAAAATTGTCAAATTAAAGGAGGTTTATTTTAAGTGTTATGAAAAGACAAAGCACTACCTGAAGAAGGAAATGTTACTATGAAGTGTAACTAACAGTCTGGAGGGTCTGAAGCATTAAGTACTTGCCCTCAGGGTTGGATCAGCAAATCTAAAACTTCAGGAAAGCCTGCTTAAACCCACACTAGTCCATCATGAAAGTGTTGTTAGAGGCTTTAAGAGAGCACTATGTGCCTGTCAAATTGCATTAAACAATATTAAAATAGAGCAGTTTAAAGCCATTTTGGGGCTGAAGTGTCCCTGTCTTTGGCTGACAGCAGTGGAGGAGCTGATGCAGCAGAACTGTTGATACTTTTGCCACATCATTACTGTCTTGGGTTGGAACTGGGGTTGTATTCTATTCCTGTCTGTGGGGCAGTTATCCTCTGTTCACTGGGCAGTTTTTCTTTATCTCTTCCACAACCAATTCTCCCTCCAGGAGACCTCTTCTGTTCATAGGCCATTAATTATTAATTATCTGTTCATGGCCAGTGAGTGTTCCTGCATGGCTGAGAAAATTCCATCATCCATGGGGAGATGCTCTGCCCAGGGGAGGAGCCAAACATTCCTACCTGGATCCAATCTGACCTGGGAACAGCACAGCAGCCTTTGCCCCCTGCATTCCCAGAGGAGCAGCTTCCTTCCCCCTGCATTCCCAGAGGAGCAGCTTCCTTCCCCCTGCATTCCCAGGGGAGCCCAGGCCCATCTCCCCCAGCCCTGGAGCTCCAAGGAAAACTCCCCCCTTGTGCAGATCCTGCTCCAGCAGAAGCACAGCTGGCACTGCAGGAGGGCTGAGCCCCCCTGGGATGGGGCTGAGCCACTCCCTGACCCACAGCCTGCCAGGGCTGCTCTGACTCTGCCAGTGTTGTTTTGTATTACTGCACTTTTTATTTAATTTTTTAAAAATTTTTCTTCCCTAATAAAGAACTGTTATTCCTACTCCCATATTTTTGCCTGAGAGCCCCTTAATTTCAAAATTATAACAATTCAGAGGGAGGGAGTTTACACTGTCCATTTCAGGGGAGGCTCCCACCTTCCTTAGCTGACACCTGGCTTTTCAAACCAAGACTACCAAACAAGTATTCAATAATACAAGCTCTGTCTGAACTCACACAGATTCTCCTGTTACTACAACAACAACAAGAAAAAAAAATCAACCAAAAAAAAACCAAAAACAAACCCCCAGTTAAATGTTCCATCAGCAGGGATGAAATACTACACAGACAGAGAAAATAATAATTTGTTGTGTCTGTTGAATCCTGAACCTCACCTTGCCAGGACACAGCAGCAGGGAGAGAGGAGCTGCTGTAATGAAGCCCCTTGGGAGTACAAAAATAGAGATAATTGCAGCTTTGTCTCACTGAACACCAACCTGACTAACTTCTGTTAGAAAGTTCAAACACCACTTCACAAATTAATTCAAGATTTTTAGTCTGAGTGAAAAACAAACAAAAAAACCCACAAGGCACTTATGGGGAAGGCATTCAGAAAAGAACAATGAGTTGTAAGAACAAAAGGCAGACATTCCTCCTGGAGGAAAAAAAAAGCTGAGTTGTTACTATGAGGCTTCTCCAGTGCAAACAGTCCGGGAGAAATGAGCTGAAATTCTGTCCTGACCTGGAAAAATTCCTTTATTTGTGACACCAGGAGATGACACAGTGTTGTGCCACCAGACATACAGAACCATGACTGACGCTTTCTGCTCAGACTGGCTTCCAAGGAAAATAATAATAGTTTTGAGGAAATGAGAGCTATGAAAGAACAGCATGTATCCTAGATTTTTCCCTTCAGCAGCCAAAGGCCTCAGTACCAAGGAAAATATCAAGAGAGAGGAAGAGTTTGAAGTGTAACATGTAATTTTTAGTGCCTGTCTCTGTGCATCTCACTTAGCAAAGCGTGAAAAGCACTGATTTCCAGTAAAGCTGAAAGAGGTGATCTAGTGTAACTAATATTCTAATTACAGAATCATGTCTCTCAGGCCAGGATTCCCCTTCACAGAAACGTGAACAAACAGCAATGCAACAAAACCCTAGCATTTCCTGCTTTCCAAAGTTAAGATCTGTTTATTCATGAAAATTCAATCCTAGGACTCGGTGAAGATTTTAAGATTTAAGCCAGAACCATCAGGACTCTGAACTACTTTCATGAACACAGGCATTCAAAACAAATGATGAAGAGATGAATTTGTAGCTTTATATTTTTACATTATTGAAAATCTTTTCTGGATCTAAAGTTATAGGGAATATAACATAATATTATATGGAATATCCTGTCAATACATCCCCACCACTCTGTTGGTGCACTGCTGCAATTTGTGTTCAGAGACCAGCAAAGAACTCACTATGGCAAAAACAAGGTTCTCATTTTGCCAGCTCAAGAGGAAAGAAATAAAAATCAAAATATTACCAACATGGAGTAACAGAACAACACAGTCCAAGTGTTGTTACGAATGAAAACTGGGACACAAATCTCACAACTCCTGAGCACACCAGCCTATTTTCACTTTATGTGCATTCCAGAATGAGCAAGGCTCTACACCAGTAGTGAGTGCTAAGCACAGTGTATACATGTTTTATATATTAAATGCAAAATGAGAAGGAAAATTCTCTTTTAAAGCCCCATGAGTACAGTTTTAGCATTTTCCTTTCCAAAAAGAAAATGTTCAGCTATGTTTTCCTAAAAAGCTCAAAGGCATCTCACTGATAGACCAAACCAGAAAAAGCAAAAACCAACGTCTAAACTCCTGGTGTCCCTCACTTCCCAGGGACAAAGGGGCAGAGGAGCAGCACAGGACAGGTCAGTGGCAGGGAAGGAAGAAAATGGGAAGGAAAATAACAGCAGGACTTTAACTCAGGCTTACAAACCAATTCATGAAATCCATTTCTTCTTTACACTCTGTATTATGTCTGCACTTATAAGATGCACAGGAGGTGATGCGTAAGGGGAAGACTACAAAGCACAAGCTTCTGTATCAGTTTATTTCCACATAAAACATCATCCTCTCATATAAAGTTCATACTGTACACCCTTCCACAAGTCTATCACAGCCAGATCCTGTCTGTCAATTATCAAAGAGTTCAATTCAACCCCTTCAGCCATAATTTTTGATGCTTTAAAATCCTAGTAAAGTTGGAATTACGTGCCAGCCTAACAATTTTGCAGCAAGAACACCACATCAGAGAGCAAGTCTCACTGTTTACACAGACAACCAACCCATCTGCCACTTGACAGGGAGACACAACCTGCCTCAGACAGGTATTAATCTTAGTTTCTGCCAAAAGCACTTTAATAGAACCACAAACCCTATTTTCAAGGCAAGGTGTTTTATCCCAGTGTGGAGCAAAACATACTCTTGGGATAAGAAACTATTAATAGAGAACTAGTACAGCAAGGCACAATCAGAAATTGGATTAATACAGTACTGATGATACCAAAACATTCAGCACATTCTTGGCCTTTCCACTTTGCATGCAATTTCTTGCTGTTGACAAAGTTATCTCAGTGAATTCCAAAGGTGAATCTTATTCCACTTCAAGTCTCCATGAGCCTGCATGAAAAAGCATTCAATCATCATCATCCTGGCTGTAGTTAGCAGGCACTAAATAAATAGACTTAAAAGTAGTGAATGTTTCATGAGAAAGAATTGTAATTGTAAATTACATTCTCCCTCCCAATAGTTTGTAAGCCTTCTTTAACACTGCTCATCTATTTCAGTAATAAGAGGAACATGGTATCTAGATCCATGCATAAACAAACAAAGAAAAGAACAAAATAAAGGAAGTGCATAAACAGCAAACCATCATGGCAAATAAATGTGCAGGCTTTTACCAGTCTGGAGATAGTACAGTCTGGAGTACATAATATTTGAATAAGGAGGATTTGTTTTAAAGAAAATCTACTTTTTATCTTCACTATTCTTCGAATACACATTGATATAAAACAGGAAAAATGTAAGTGATAAAGAAGAGACATCATGTACCTGTAACAAGTGTCCTAAGTGCTCTCTCCTTCCTGTTAATCAAGCCTGAGAAACACAAGACTCAGATAATCCTGGAACACTGGACAGGCTGATTAGATACACAGATTATATCTGTGATTTATTAATTTCTCCTGGTGCTAACAACACATTTCACAAGTAGGCAAGTAAAAGCTGGGCAAGTACTGGTAAAACACAGCCTATGCACCATTTATGCACAATTAACAAATGATTCTGGATATGACATTTCCTTGAAGACAACTTCCTTGACTTCAAAACAAAGAGTACCCGAATCCTGGCAGGAGTTCAGAAGATGACTCTGCAGACACTCAAGGTTTTGGCAGAAAAATGACCGAAGGACAATGGATTACATGAGGCTCCCAAGCTGTCAAACATCCCATG